CACACGTTTAAAATCCATAAAATATTCTGTAAGGGATCTCTGCTATTTTTTCGGATGGTAAATTCATTGTAAACATCATATATAGGATTTAAATTACCCTTACCAGAATACAAGAAAGCCAAATAATCTATAAGATCTTTAACAAACTCACAATGATTGATGAGACTGACTATCTCATTATCAATAGAGTTTTGGATTTGCAAAAATAATTTTGCATCTTCCCTTAACCAAACCTTTTTTTCTTTCCCATCAACGGGTGGGTCATCAGTGAGATGATCATCTCTGTTGATGCTGCGCAGATATATCTGAATTATTTTACTCAAATCTAAAAAAAATTTTCCGCTCAATTTGTGTTCAGTAATTTTTGATGTTGTAGGAATAACATCAGAAATTATTGTTTTCATCTCTCTACTACTACCTTTCATATCTGCCACAAGAAAGAACTAAAAGTGACTCAATAGGGTCACGTCAAAAGACAAACTGATAATAGAGTCTAAAGCTTTGATACCATGAAAACTAAGAAAAAAGGGAGAGAAAATACTCTTTTTCATATTTTTGGACTACACAATATACAAATATATATACACAAGTACAACCTAATTTAGATCCTAAAATTATGCTAATTTAAATCAATCTATTACCTAATTAATATATGATACTATAATTAAAACAAATCTAATCTAATCTTTCCTAATATGTACAATATCAAATCTTTCTATAATATCAGATCACATATCTTCAACAAATTCATACACTAATATGAAGAACAGAAATAGGACAAGTATTTTAGTCTCAATAAGTTCTAATTCAATTCAAATGAAATTGATTGAATTACACAAAAAAAAATTAATATTTGTCAACTATGGATAATTCATGGACTATATGGAGAATAAAAAGATGATAAGTATTTTAGTCTTAATAAGTTCCAATTTAGTTCAAATAAAATTGGTTACATTCTCCGAATCTATGTGTAGTTATGAAACTAAATTTGATAAATTAAACACATAAATATCATTCTCTTCGTACTCTACATGAGAATTGTCAGTGAGGGCAAATATCTTGGATGATGTAATTGTACATTGATATGATAATAGTAGGATATCCTATACTGAAGGCTAGATGAAGTGGATGAGACACCAATGGTACATGCATCTATACTTGAAAGAGATTGCTCGTCATGTAAGCAAACATCTTCAAAGGATCTAACTTGTGGGGTTCCTAGTATTTGTTCGCTTGTGTTTAGTTGAATACTACTTCCTATCATTTCAGATGAAAGTGTACATTGGCATAGTCACAATCGAGTATTCTGTACAGAAGACTAGCTTAGACATCAATAGTAAATGCTGTTGACCACCTATATGCGTGACCTGTACAAGTTAGTCTTAATAAGTTCCAATGCAATTCAAACAAAATTGATTACATTCTCCGAATACAGATATGCAATTATAAAACTAACATTGATAAATTAAATACATAAATATTGTTCTCTTAACGCTCTACATGGAGATTGTCACCGAAGGCAAACGTCTTTATTGATGGAATTGTACATTAGTATGGTCACAATAGAATATCCTATAAAAAAAAATCCTACACTAAATGCTAAATTGGGTAGATGAGGCACCAATTGTACAGGTTTCAATCCACCTGTATACTTGAAAGAGATTGTATAATGATTCACAAACTTATATGCTAACATGTAGAAAAAAAAACAATGTGTATAGATAAAATAATAATATGTAAAAACTAAACAACCATTTATTAGTGTGCAAAAGGAGCTTATACGGTGTGTATAAAGTAAACAATAATGTGACAAATAAAGTAATAATGTGTAAAAACTAAATAACAAAATGTAAACCATAATAACCATTATGTACAAAACAAAAAACAATGTATACAAACAAAATAACAAAATGTAAAAATTAAATAACCAAGAGTAAATCATAATACAAAATGTGTGTAATGTGAAACTCTTGGAACATTTGTAACTTTGTCCATCTCCTTGATGCTCTGTTGCTGAATGAAATGGGCGATGGAGCATGCGTGATTGCGTTATCTCCAAGTGCATGAGTCGTCTCATCTGCTGCGGATTGCTCCGAAATTGGTCGAGTTTAATTAGCAAATGAAATCCGGGATGGAGCATGTATGATGCTTCGGGTTTTGCCAGGTACACTGCCTAAAGATTTAGAACTTAGGGTTTGTAATTTCTTTGAGCCAAACTGAAAAGTATGCAATTTACAATTTAGTTGTAATTGGTTTGAGGCAATGGAAAAACTAATTTGCTATCTTGTGCTTTTGTTAATTGTTATAGCTGTACTTCTGTCTGTATATCGAAAATCCCTGAGTTTGGAGCTCGGCTATGGTTTTGCTTGCTTCTAGCTTGCAATTCTTTTTTTTTTGGATAATAACTTGCAATTCTTTCTTCATGCTTGAGAAATATATTTGAACAGCATTGTTGTCATAACGGTTGAAATTGACAAAAGGATCAATAGTTTACATTTTTGATAGATCGAGGGTTAAAATTACCCACGGGTCAAAATTTGAGGGCTATTGATACTTTTTGCCCTTTTCTTTACACTTAAATCTTTTTCTCCCCATAAGTGATCTCCCTTAATTATCCATGTAATAGTATATGCCAACAAGATTTTTAAAGATACAAGATTTTTAAAGATAAATATCATTTAAGTATTGTTTGATAAATAAGAAAAATGTGATAATGTATGGCTAAATAATAGAATTCTTCCTTTTTTGAGAAGTAACTGTCTACCAGTAACCAAACAAAGAGGGAAAAAAATACAAAAACTAGGACTATTTCATTTTAAAGCTTCGGATGCAGCATAGGCACAGAAAAAAAAATTGGATTATCCATCCCATTCATGGCTTAATTACATTATGATGTTACGATTTTAAAGAAAATACTACAATAAGTATCACTTCTAATTGCCTTCCTGTTTCAGAAGGGCACCAGTAGAATTCCACCATTTGGTAAAAGGATCATTAATGCACTATTTTCTACATAATACTTTCTGAGAAAAACATCATCAGATCCTATCAAAGTACTTGAAAGCAGGAAGCACACAGGCTGCAATTGCAAACGAAACAGATAAAAGAGAAACTTTACAGGTAACAGGAAACTTTTGCAGCTAGTTGACAATAATACCATCATCCTCGCATACACGCATGTATTGACTTCATATCATGAACGCTAAGGTAACAATGACAATGCAGATGAAAGGGTCTGATCCAAAAATCGGACAAGGAAACTTAACTGAAATGTGTTATAATATAGATATGTTTCAAGCTACAAGGGAAACTGAAATGGAGAATATCCAAACATGGGAGAAATTTTCATCCAAGTGCAAGAAAATCAACTACACCAGAACTGCCTGATGCAAGTTCTGCCCATTCATTTCCAAGATCTTCTGAGACCGTGCAAGTTTTTCTTCACCTTCAATTAAAACAAACATTGGTCATCATTTATGATATCAAAGAAGAACATTCTCAAATCGACCAAAAATTTTGTCAAGTGGTCCATACAATCTAGGAAACTGCATATATTTGACATTGACCAATACTTTTACAGATGTACATAAGCAGAGAGGGATCAAAGAAACAATTAACCAACTGTTGACTCTGACTCATTTAAGCATTAAAACCCAAGTCATATGTTGTAACAACCGGTTCCTTATACCACTATTTCATGCAGCTATCAAATTCTCAAGTGGCTCGGAAATGGTTTGTGACTAGACACAAATAGAAGTACTTTTGGAGCTAGTATTGAAAGGTCAGACTATCATGCTAATCTATTTGATAGAAGTAGCAATAATAGGATATAATGGCATCTGAATATTTTCATTGGAATTGAAACAGCAAACTTGAATTTAGCTAGCTAGAGCGCGGCATTGCTATGCTTATAAACCATAGAGGTAAAAAATCATTGCTCTAAATGATTTCCTGATTGATATATAAACTTGCCCCTGTAAAAAGGAAATCGCCAGATTCTTCAGGGACATTGATGCTTTCATGATGAGAGTATTTGAGGAGCCAGTCTCGTGGCATTTCCTTTTCATCTTTATTTTTTTCTGTTTTTAGAACATTCATATATGGACTCCAGTTACCGTTTTCCATCTGTTACTGGAAGGAGGCTGACAAAGAAGATCAAGCAAAATACGCGTGTTTTCGTGAAGCAGCAGAAAGTACCTCCCACTATTTTATACCCTCTATTCTGCCCCTTAAAATATAATTTTTTTTGCAGATCATTATAGTTCTATCAAGTCCTTGCTATATTAGGTCTGACTTCGCCAGACTTCTATAAATTTAATCAGGAGTTTGTTGTTTATCTACAAACCTCCACTGAAACAATCGGACAACTACTAACAACAAGCCCCAACTATATTGCAATCTGTTGGCAACTAACAATATGACGGTGTCATTACGAAAGAGACTGCGTTACAGAAAATGAGGAACAGCAGTAGCAACCAAGATATCAAGCTAGGAAAATGTGTTTTGAAAGTACTCCTGCACATGTTTAAATCCCAAGAAGTGGCACATATCAAGTGATATTAAGATAGAAAGTATCAAATTTGAGTGAGCATAGTATGTTTCTCAAGGATAAAAGATCATTCAATGCATTCCAGGAAGAGAAAATGCAAAAACATGATGAAATATATAACGATTTGCTTACTTGTCAATGGAATGTATGGGACAGATTAAAATCCCCACTTAATGATTGATGAGGACCTTCAGAATGTCAGTTCCATATTGATCTAGCTCCTCCTTCTTAAGTCTCCCAATTGACATCTCAACAGACTCTCCGCATCCCTGCACTTCGATTATCTGCAATGTCTCAATATCCACAAAATCAACGGGAACCTCCTCGAGATTCTCGCATCTTCGCAAGACCAGGCGCTGAAGACTAGGCAAGTGTTCACTGTAGGCATTCCATTTCACAATGTTTACACTCTCTAGTTTCAAGAATTTGAGCCGGAGAAACTTGCCATCAATCATCTGCCATCAATCATCTGCCAATTTGTATGCTCAAAAACTATGGAACAGAGTTTGAGAACCTCAAGATTTTCTAGGCCCCCAATTGTTGAAATATGATCCCCTCGCAGGAAGAAATTTGACAGAGACAACTTCTTAAGACTCATGGGGAAGTAAAATGCACTCACATTAAGACCCTTACCGCGGTACAATATCTTCAGTGCCATCAACTTGGTCAAACGTTCCAATCTTGGAAATTCAGTGCACTCCATGGAATAATTTCTTGATCTTAAAATGCTGCAACTCAACTTTCGAACAATTGGCAACCTTCTTATTATTTCTTCAGCATGTTCCCCAGGAGAAAGAGATACCGAGGAGAGAGAGACCAAGTTATTTAATTGGGTAGAAATTCCAACCTGAAGATCTTTCAAGTTGAAGCTAAGACGATCTTTTACACGAACATGTCTCAATCTTGCCATGTGCCAAATTGCATCGGGTAATATAACTTTGCCTTTCAATCCCTTGACAAGGAAAGTTTCAAGATTCCTCAAGTTGGCTAATGACGATGGAATACAGTCTATGTCACCGCCAACAGCTAAATAAATCAAATGAAGAAGTAAATCAATCCCCGCTGCAAACAAATTGCCAATATTGATGCATTCCAAATCCAAAACCTTAAGAAGCTTAAAGTTCCTAGAAATGAATGAGATATCATAAGGGCATCTAGGATATGTATCACTGGTGGCAAAGAACAGTAGAGTACGAACATAGGAGCTAGAAGGCGTCGACATAACAAAGTGATTTTGCCTCGTAGAAATGCTTAGTCGATATCCATCATAATTCATGGGGTACGAAGGTTCAAATTCTTCCAAATCCAGATCATCATCAAAAGAAGCATAAGGTTCGTCATCACTAGTTATGAACTCCAAAAAGTTTTCTTTTTTGGCTTTTAGCAAGCACAGAGCACGTACCAAGTCATGAGGTCGGCATGATTTGACTCCGCCATCCGACCTCCTTTTGGCAACTGTTATTAAGCTTCTTCCAATCAGATCTATCAAGTAATCCTCCGCAAGATCCTCCAAGCTCTTTGAATTTTTCTTCTGGATAAAGCCTTCAGCCATCCATAGCTATGTCAATTTTTGAACTGGAATCTCCTTATCTTCTTGAAATACTGCAAGGTAAAGAAAGCATGCTTTGAGATAATCTGGCAAATTCTTGTAACTCAGTTCAAAGATTTCCATGCATCGTGTCTGAGGATCATTGATGATGAGTGGATTTAAACTTCGTGCAATTTGTTTCCATGATTCTGGTTTCATGTTTCTCCCTTTAAGGAGACCTGCAATTGCAACGACTGAAAGAGGCAGTCCTTGACAGTTTCTAGCAATTTCCCTTCCAACTTCCCATAATTCCTCACGGCAGCATTGTTGAGGAAATATCTTCATCCTTATTAACTCCCAACTTTCATCATCGGAGAGTGGATTAAGTTTAAAGAGATCACTTTCCAGCGTAACTTTAGAAACAACATCAGAGAGCCGACTGGTTATCAAAATTCTACTTCCATTTTGATCATTTGGGAAAGAGCGCTGTAAGTCATCCCAGGCACCAGTATCCCACACATCATCCATAAGGATAAGGTACCGATTTCTCCTCAAACTTTGACACAACAGCAATTCCAAATCTTCATCTTCCATTGCATGGATATTATCTGCAAGCTGAACAATGTGGTTCAAAATTTCAAGCAACAGCTCTCTTTTGGTATATACTTGTGAAACATAACACCATGCACGAATATGGAAGTAACCAACAATTTCGACATCATTATACACTTGGTTAGCCAAAGTTGTTTTACCGATTCCAGGCATTCCAACAATGGAGATAACATCTCTATCCGGTGATCCTCTTTTAAGTCGATTAACTATTGCTTTCTGCTGATCATTGAGAATGAACACATCTTCACTATTTCCACTGGCTCTATTCCGTGGAATCTCATGCCTTGTAGTCTGGACAGCATTCTGGATTCCCACACCAAAGGCCTTGCCTTGAAATAGTCTGACCTGCATCTTAATGAGTCTGATCTCTTCTGAGATGTGATAAAGCCACAGAAATTGGTTCCATTCATCACCACTTTTGACCACCAATGAATCAATGGCATATTCTGCCTCATGCGCCACATGAATAAGACGTGTACAAAGTTCCTTTAGTCCGTGATTCTCTGCGCCCTTCTCTTTGAAATCTATTAAATGAGATATCAAGAACTCAAAATCCTTAGAAATGGTTTCAATATGATTGGTCAAATGTGCGACTGAATCAAGATTCCACTTCAGCAGCTGTTTTAATTTTTTATGTAGAAACTCAATGAAGCCTAGTGCAGGAGTCTTGGGGAAATTTAACATTGGAACTCGAAGATAAAGCCCTTTAAGCTTTGTCTGCAAAGTCTGAACCTTTTCGAGCGAATCAAATAGCCAAAGACCCATTTTATTCATAACTTCTTCAGTGATTTCATCAGCTGGAAAAGAATTACAAACAGATGTTACTCCAGAAGCCAATTCTTCCGTACATGTCAAGGTGAGTCTCTCATCCTCTGTGATTTCTGTAAACTGATTGAAGACAATTTCTATCACCATTGTGAGATCCTCATGGAGAGTTCCTGAAGAGGTGAATTTTGTCTTGCTGAGGTGAACCCTACGAACTGAAGAGATGTTCTGGATGTCACGGTCACCGCAGTTAAGTCACCTGCTAAAGATAGGGAGGGGTCTGAATCCCCCGTTATAACTCCGAAACTTAAGCCAGTTCGGATGTAGAGTAGTAGGAAAGTAATATGTGAAGATAGTGTTTTACCAGAAATTGGTCATCCCCCTCCTTAGTAGATACGCTGGGTATTTATAGGGGATTTGTTGGGAAGAGGAACTAACCGCACGGGTCCCTAGAGATCAGCGATGATACTGCATCTAATGGATTTGACTGGTCCTTATGAAAAGGTTTGATTGGACACCCGCCAGGTTCAGGCGGCGCGTGTCAGAGCAGCTGTCCATCAGTCGTCAGGCATGTCAGGTGTCATTTCCTATCTTTTGTAGGCGTCCATCGCTCAGCTGTCACCTCGGTTCATGACCTGAAAATTACAGCCGAGGTGGCACACAGGTTACGATGGCCATGACAAGTAACGTGCCGAGGTGGCGCCTCAGGAGGTATCAAAATATGAGGCCTCGGATTACCCGGGCCGAGATGATCATCCTCACCAAGCCCCCCAAGCCCTCGAGAAGGGCGAGGTCGTGGTAAACTGAGGTCGCTCCTTCCCGAGGCTAACGGCGTGTAGAACACGCAACGCAGCAAGGACACGTCAGGGTCGTATGGATGGGACTGAGAGAGGGATGAAAGGATGGCTGTCAGATGCACTGTGTTCTCATTAATGAGGAGAGAGAAGGGGTGCTCCAGGGAATCCCAAAGGATCCGCCTCTTTGGTTTCCCCCACTTTGCCTATAAATAGGGGCCCTTTTTACCGTTTCATCTTTCACCAAAATTTGAAATCACTTCAAAGTCGTGTCTTTTTGTTTTTTCACTTCGGCAATCTTTCTGAATCACTTCTTCTTCGGCCCTTCCTTCGAATCACATCCTAAGTAAGTTCATTTCTTTCTCTTCTGTTATAATGGCTAGAACAGCTCGTACGCACAAAGAAACGGTGCGAGCTGACTTTACCGAGGCAGAGAACTGCTTCCGACGTGGGGGAAGGAGGTGTAGAGGCATCTCACCGAGCTGGGACATCTGCGGGATAGCACGAGGAGATCGAGGTCGATCCCGAGGTTCTATACAATGATGACCTCGGGACCGAGGTCCCTAGGGACGAGGGCGTACAAGAGCCTTCCACCCCTCCGAATGTGGACTCACTTAACTACGGCCTGATGCCGACCTTCAGAAGTAAGTTGGGGCAAGCTTCCGTAGCCGAGGTGGTCCGCAAGTATCCCTGGAGAAAGGATTACAGTATTTATGTACCCCAGCCTCACCAATCTACCGCACTGCCATCGAAGGGTAGGGTGGCTATTTACGTGGAACAACTGGAGGCCGGGCTCAGAGTGCCCACCACAAGGTTGCTTCGGGACTGTTTGAGGTATTGGGGGGTGAGAATCACTCAGCTCACCCCCAATGCCATCCACGTCCTCGTCGGCTTCCAACTGCTCTGCCGTCATCAGGAGATAGAACCCACGGTTAACCTATTCCGCCGCTGTTATTCACTTAAGAACAGCGGGAGCGAGAAGGGTTGGTTTTACTTCGGGAACAAAGTCCCGAAGTTAGTGGTGGATGCCCCGAGCTCGATAAAGGAGTGGAAACATAACTTCTTCTTCGTCCCGGCCGAGGACTTCCCCAGGGGATTCTGGTGGAGACCGCCCACCTCGGTTAAGGAGACGTCCCCGGACAAGTTGGAGGAGCGTAACTTTCAGAAGATAACGGGGTCAGGCCTCAGAATCAACTGCTGGGACTTTCCTGAAGTGGTGCTCGTAGAAGGCGGGATCAGCCGAGCACTGATCAGCTCGGACCACCCCGTCTTCTTTTCTACTAGGCTCCAACAACCTTGTACTTTTCCATTTCCCCTTTTTTGTTTTTCCTTCTCAAATTCTAACTAACTTTTCCTCATTCTTTGTAGTGGTGAAAGTTTCGGACCTGATAACCTCGAAAAACGTCGAGGTGGCGAAGAGACCACCCAAGAAGCGCAAGGACGCCGCTGAGCCCTCCATCAGGCCTGCCAAGAAGACCACCGTGGCGGCGAATGACCGCGAGCCTACAGTGGTGATCGTGGGCGAGGGCTCACACACCTCGGCCACTCCCAGAGACTCCCGAGCCTCAGCTATTCCTGTGGGGGTCCCTATCCGAGGGGTCACGATAGCCACTCCACCTCGGGGTCAAGGCGTGACCGCGTTCCCAGATAACCCCGTCACGGGGTTCTCTTTGTTCAACCTCCACCATGTGCCTTCCAAAGCGGCCGAGGAGGACAAAAGGTACCCCGGATCGCACTGGTGTCCGGAGTGGGAGATCAACGTCAACGACCGTTGTAAGAACCCCCTGGTTGCTCAGGAGCTTTTGGTGCACTCGGTGTTGCCGCGAGACAGCACTTATGCCAGGAAGCTCACCCCAGGCGAGCTGATGCAAAGTGCTTCGGTCTCCTGGGCCTCCACCACGGCCTTTTTTGCTGAAATGATCCAACGCTACGGGCGTTTTATGGAAACCTTCGAGCCACCAGCCGAGATCCAGAAGAAGATTGCCGACCTGGAAGGAAAGCTAAGGGCAACTGAGCTGGAGCGCGATAAGGCCAAGGCGGCGAGGAAGAAAGCCGAAATTGCGAACAATTCCTTGATCATCACCCTAGACGAGGAGAGAGGAAGAAGGGCCCAAGAGGAACAGTCGACCAAAGAGGCCATAGATAAGGCCGGGGTGACTTCCGTGGAGTCCTTCCGCAGCTCGGAATCCTTCACGCGCGACCTCGGGGAGCTTACGCGGCCGAGCTTCATGTTTGGCTACACTTCGGCCGTCAATGATGCAACGCCCTTCCTCTCCTCTGAACAACTGGAGTCCCTTCAAAGCGCTCCGCACTATAATGAGGACGCCAAGGAGCTGTGCGACCGCATGGCTGAGGGTATCCAAGCTGGAAGGGACCTAACCGAGGTCCGGGCCGAGTTCAACAAATGGCTCCAGGAGTTTGAGCTAGAGGGTGATGGTACTGAAGACGACCAAGCCGGCGGAGGAGCTGAGGGAGGACAGGACGCCGAAATCGGAGGCGAGACCATGGGGGGTCAGGCTGCAGGGGTAGGGAGTGCTTAGGGGCACTCCTCTTTTTGTAATTGGGGGCCGAGACCATGACCTCGGCTCTCACTTTTTGTACTTCAATTTTTCTGTGCTTCAATACAACTATGTTTTTGAGTTCTCTTTTCTTTTTTGTTGAGATCAGCTCGGCTTTCTTTTCTTTGACCATTGCCTTGTCCCCTTATTTGTTACTTACGAGAAAATGAGAATAAGTGAGAAATAACTTAAAGGAGTGAGATTTAAGAACACGTACCCTTCAAGGGTAATACAACTTAAGATTCTCAGCATGCCAAGTTCGGGGCACCCGAGAGTCATCTCGGTAAGCTAATTTACAATATCCATTTTGGCTGGATTCCACAACACGGTAGGGTCCTTCCCACTTGGGGGTTAGTTTACCCTGAGGTTCAGCTCGGCTAATCGAGTTCTTTCGGAGAACAAGGTCTTCCGGATTGAATCGCAAGTGTTTGACCCGGGCGTTGTAGTAACCAGTTAGGATATTCTTATAAATAACAACTTTGGCCGCGGCCATATCACATTTCTCTTCGGCAAGGTCGAGGTCGATTTGCCGCTCCTCCTCGTTGACTTAGACAGCATACGCAGCCATTCGCAGACTGGGAGTGATGAATTCGGCAGGAACAACAGCCTCGAATCCATAAGTTAGGGAAAACGGGGTTTCTTGGGTTGCTGATCTCGGCGTAGTTCGGTAGGACCACAGCACGCTGGGGAGCTCTTCCATCCATGACGATCCAACCCGGTGAAGCCTGGTCTTGAGGTCATGGAGGAGAGTTCGGTTGAAATTTTTGGCTTGCCCATTTGCCTGAGGGTGTCCAACCGAGGTGAAATGTTGCTTAATCCTCAAGTTTTCGCACCACGCCTTGGAAGGATTATCAGCGAACTACCTTCCGTTATCCGAGATCACAACTTGAGGTAGTCCGAAGCGACAGACCACATTCTTCCAAAAGAATTTTTGAACAGCGGCCCAGGCGATGCTTCTCAGGAGCTCGGCCTCAACCCATTTGGTGAAATAGTCCACTGCCACCACCACGTATGCATGATTTCCTGGAGCTCTAGGGAATGGATCGATTATATCAGTTCCCCATTGCCCAAAAGGCCATGGCGAGGTGATGGGGATCATGAGGTTGGTCGGCTGGTGGTGCTCAGAGGCGTGGTGCTGGCAGGAGGAGCAACTAAGGACCATGACCTGGGCATCCGTCCTCATGGTGGGCCAGAAATACCCGAGCAACAAAGCTTTTTTGACGAGCATCCTGTAGCCGACGTGAGCACCACAGAGTCCCTCGTGTATGTCTTGTAAGATCCTTTCGCCTTCTTCTGACATGATGCACCGCAGCCAAGGGCCGAGGTAAGACCTCTTGTACAAGAGGCCTTGCCGAAGAGTGTACCAAGCTGCTTTACGCTGAAGTTTCCGCGACTCAGCTCAGTTTTCGGGGAGTTCACCGCGACTGAGAAAGCGAACTAGCGGCCCCATCCAGGTGTCCCCAGGGTAGATGGGTACACTACTTCTCCCTTATACCCCGGTTCGGCTAGAACTTCTACGAGAACCGTCTTGTTCAGGTCAGAAAAAGAGGTAGACGCGAGCCGGGAGAGGGCATCGGCTCTCCTGTTTAGTGACCGTGGTATCTTTTGGATTTCAAAAGACTTGAAGTGTGCCACTAGCGGAGGACCTTGGAGAGGTATCGATGCATCACCTCTTCCCTAGCCTCGTATTCACCTAGTATTTGGCACACGACGAGTTGAGAGTCATTATAGACCAAGATATGCGCGGCCCCAAGCTTACGAGCTAACTACAAGCCGGCGATGACTGTTTCGTATTTGG